GGTCCCGTTGCCGGGCCCCGGTCCGGTACGGGGGTGACACTGGGGGTTGGGGTCCGTTGCCGGTCCCCGGTCCGGTACGGGCGTGACACTGAGGGTTGCGATCCGTTGCCGGACACGGAAAAAGACAAAAAAAAAAAAAGAAAACCTGCCTGACTTGTGATGCACACGCCGCACGCGGAAGCCCCTAACCCCAGACTCACACAGCCCAAGGTGAGTCACCCAGGAGGAGTCAGCCAGGGAGTTGTAAACCTTTATGGTGAACTATGCATAAAGTGAGGGTGCCAGGAGGACTGAAGAGCACCTTGGAGAAGGAACACGGGCCCAGGACCTGCTTTACAACACCCATAAAGCATGTCACATAGTTGCCACTACAAGGCACTGGCCGTCTCTGAGTCACCATGCCAGGTGCCTCAGGTGCTGCACCACAAGCACATGCTGGGGCGAGGGGCGTTGGCTTGGCTCTGCATGCAGCCCCAGCACACTTCCTGCTCATTCCAGGCCCTGATGGACATTCGTTCAATGCCCAGGCACGGGGTGTAATCCCCACACCGACTCCCCATGGTTGGTATGAGGGTACTTCAAAAAGTTCATGGAAAAAATAGAATTAAAAGATAACACAAATCTTTCCATGAACTTTTTGAAGTAACCTTGTATTACCGCACCCACTTCATGGATGAAGAAAAAGGCCTCTGACTCCCTCAATGGCACACAGCTCAAGGCTACCAGTCCACTGGAGAGTCACACCTGGGCCAGAGCTCAGAGGAGGGAGTGCCCAGCCAGCTGAAATGGGCAGGGGTCGCCAAACCACAGAGGGCAGTCTCCAGCTGCAGGTTTGACTCACTGGAGGGCCAGGAAACTGAATGAGCTGCCCACAGCCCCCTTTGTTTGTAAATAAAAGGTCAGGATAGAGAATGTCCAGCTGCAACACACCCAGGGTGGACAATCCTGCTCTGGAAATTTCCATTCCCACTGAGGAGGCGTGTGCGTGTGCACATGCGCCTGGCTGTGACAGAACATCCATGTCACACTGTGGCCGAGGTCAGAAAGAGGAAAAAGCAGCAGAGCCTCACAAGCAGGCAGGACTTCAACAGGTAGAGGTGGCCATGGCATGTCTCAGGCAGAGGTTCGACGTGGGCACAGGGGAGGTGGGTAACCAGACCTGGAGAATGTGCAATGGCCTCGGTGTACAGGGGAAGAGTGGGTGGTGACCCATGGAGAGACGTGTTCCAGTCCAAGCACAGAGCCGGGAGCAGGCCGCTCCGAGGGTCTCGGTGCTCTGGTGGTCCTGCCTGCAAATGGGGCTGCCAGTCAGTCCCTACCTTGCAGAGCTGGCTGCTATGAGAATAAGATGATGAACTGAAGAGCACTGGGTGGATTACTAAAAGAGTGATGTGACCACCAGCTATGTATTTTCCCAAACACCATGGCCAGAAGCCCAGATCCTCCCTTTTGAGTGTCTGCAGAACTCACAGTAAGGTGTAAGCATTTCCAGCCACAGCAGTGCCGAAGCATGGAAAAGCCTCTCTAACAAGGCCAGCGTCACAGCCCAGCTAGAGTCTTGCCCCAACTCACCACTCAGCTCAGAGGTCAGGCCAGACCCTCAGCACCATCAGCCCCGCATCTCCTTCTCTCCCCCAGAGGGCTGGGGCCACTTCTTGCCTCCCGGCCTTGCCCTGCTGACCCTCTGTGGTTCTCTTCCCCCCTGCTGACTCCTGCTCAGGCATAGCCTCTCCCCAGAAGGTAGCTTCACACCTCTCTCCCCTCCCTTCCTGATCCCAGGGCCAGGGCCCCCTATGCTCCTGTGAGTCTGGAGACTCCCTGAGGGCAGGGCCATGTTTGAGTCACTTGCGCTCTCCATGCAGAGGACCCTGCTCAGTGCTCAGTGAGCAGCAGGAGGGTGGGCAGGTGGATCACACCCTAGTGCCCTCCCCCAATGCCAGTGAGCCCTGTCGGCTCTAGGGCTGGCTGCAGGAGGCCAGGCACCATGACGCTGGGTCCTCACGACGTCTTGTCTCTGCCCCTACCACTGGGAAGGTCTGCAGGAGTGAAACTTCAGGAAGCCCAAGAACGGAAGAGCGGTGAGAGCAGACCTCAGCAGCCTGGCTCGGGATGGAGGATGGTGGGCCAGAGAGCAGTGAGGGCCTGTACCCTGGGCACAAGCACATTCCAGGGGGCAGGTGGCCCCGAGGGGAGTGGCCAGGGGCTCCCAGGCCAAGCAGAGCTGCTGACCAAACGGTCCCTCAGGACTGAGCCAGGAGGATGTCAAGAGGGGCCACAGTGGACAGGACAACAGGGGCTTCCCAGAGCCCTGTGCGGGAACCTGGGGGGAAGGAGCACGCCTTCACAGTGCCTGATGAGGTAGAGCCCACCAGCCCCCAACGGGAATGGATCAGGACTGGAGCCACTGATTATAAATGTAATAAAGCAATGTGCTGTCGGCTGCAGCTCCCGTCTGTGATCTGAGGTGCATAGCCTGAACTGCAACGGAGCCCTGGCAGGAGAAACCTCTCAGGGGTCCCTGGGCCCTGTGCTCACCCTGCTCTCATTGAACAGCCCTGGCCTGGGCTAGGGACAGCTGAGCTTGTGGCCCTGTCCCCTTACCTACCGGTTCCTTCCACTCTTTCTCGGTTCATGGCGTGCTGTGCCCGGGGCTCAGCTGGGGCAGCCGCATCTCCAAAACCTGGTCTGGGGCCGGCCTGGGGTCCAGGAGCTCGGGGTGCTTCGCTCTCCACCTGGCCCACTGAGGCAGTGGCGTTGAGCCGAGAGCGGGCCTGGGGCTGCGGCACTGGCGGAGGCTGTGGGCGGGAGGGGCTCGGTGGAGGGCCAGCGGAGTCCATCCTGCCTGCAAGAAAAGCCCGGGGTCAGATGCCAGGGCCGCCAGGTACGACCTGTTCCAGCTTTCAGTGTGTGGTAAGGAGAGAGGAAAGCGAAGGGCAACAAGGTGGGAGCTGTCAAACACTGTGCATGTGACAATCTCATTTAACCTCGCCATAGCCCACACAGGGCTAGACACCTTACAGAAACTCACCCTGGACTGCACAGCAGCTATGGAGTTGGAGGCAGACTGAAGCAAAGCAGCTGCCAGCCAAGGAATGCAAGCGTGGCCAGCAGCCACCTGAAGATGGGAGCAAGGCAGGCAGGAGCCTCCCTCAGCCGCAGGAGGGACCAGCCTGGCTCCACACCTTGATTTTAGCCTTCTGCCTCCAGAACCGTTAGAGAACGAATTACTGTTGTTTTAAGCCCCCAAGTTTCTGGCAGTTTCTTATGAGAGCCTTAGGAAACTAATACAGTAGCAAAGAGTAAAAGTTAAATAAATGTGGGAAGGGAAGGTGGGGAGGAGGAGTGAGAAGAGGAGGGAAGGCAGACCTGGTGGGGCCAGAGTCTGGAACATACCCGCCCGGCTCCACGACCCTCTCCACCAGGCCCAAGCAGGAGAGCTGTAATGCCCAGATATTAACACACACTGAAAAGCAAACTACTGCAAACACTGGGGTGGTGGTATAAGAAAAGACATTAGAACAACCTGGACAGCACAGTCTGTGACATGTGGCACGACATGGGAAAGGCCTTTATTCAATAATGGGGCCTAACGTGCTGCTTAGCAACATGGAGAAACACCACCGACGTGGTCAGGGGCAGCCACCAACCACACACTGTGGAGCTGAAGGCTCTAAAGGAGGCCTAGCCCTGGGATCCCTAGCCTGGGGCCGTGGGTGGGCTTCAGGGGGACACAGACTACTGAAATCATCGAACCTCGTGCACATTATGTGTGGGCTCAGGAAGACTTCCTCAGATTCCCAAATGACCCTCTACAGACTCAAGGTTGAATCCATCTTCTTCGTTACAGATGAGGAAACTGAGGCACAGAGTAGGGAAGGCTGGCAATTAGGAAATCTAGCTCCTAACTCTAATCTGCCTCGGCTCTGTGCTCTTGGCTGGGTGCCCACCAGGTGTGGTCCTGAACAGGCCACGTCCCTCCCTGCATGCACCTCAGTTTCTCATCCGTAAATGGGGACGGTCACCCCACACTCGGGGTGACTGTGAAGACCAGTGAGACCAGAGATCATGTGCTGCATGAGGGGCCTAGGGTCTCGGCCATTTCTAAACCCCCAGCTCCTAGGACCAAACCCGGCCTGAGTAGGTGCCTGGTGGATGTTTTTGGAGACTGTGGTCACTGGAAGAGTCAGGAGCAGCCCCAGGTACCATACACCAGTCCTCAGGGGCTAAACAACCATTTCTGCTCCATCCCCAGCTACAAATGGGTCCTAAAGATCGGATCTGTGTCCACCAAAGAACTCTAGATTTCAATCTGGACATTCCTCCCTCAGAGGGACTGAGCCCTTATTTTAAAACATCCCTCCAGGTGCAAAGCAGAAGCACGGTCAAGCCTCGTGAATCTGCTTGGAATCAACACAGTGCTTGGTGCTGCTTCCAAACTCCAGGCTTCTGGGAGCTGGCAAGTTCGGTAAAACTGGTCATTTAACTGCATGTACAGACGCAAGTGAGCATACAGCCAGCTATGGGGAAGAAAAATAAGCCAGATACCTGGCATACAGGAAAACAGTTGTGCAGGTGACTGGCCATCTGAGACAGTGACAAAGTGAGTTCTTCAAGCCACATGCAGCCACTTTCTACCTCACCTTCTCCTGTGGCTCCCACTGACCCCAGAATCAAGTGCCGCTGTCTTAGGACGGCAGAAAGCAACTCTCCTTTATTGGGAGCTGACTTCCACCATTAATAACAACGGCTTTGTTCTCAGGACCATACCCGCATTTTCTCATGGTTCCTCACACAGCCCTAGGAGGCAAGTACTATTATCATCCTGGTGTTGTAGATGGTGAAATTGTTTATCTTCCAACTCTCACCCCATTTCACACACAAGGAAGGTAAAGTACCCACTCAAGGCCAAACAGTTCACAGTGCCTTGGAGCTGAAATTCAAATTTACACCTGCTGGATTCCAAAACCACTGCAAGCTCATTTCTGAAAAAGAGGCTTTTCAAACTCTGATCTCCACCGCACCCTCTCTCCCCTGGTCCATCCACTCCAATAAGCTGGCTGCTTCTCAACACCAACATGCAATTGTACCTCTGCGCTCTGGGCCCGCAGCACCCTCTTCCCGGAGGGCCCTCTCCCCTAGTCCAAATCCTTCAGGTCAAGGTCTCAAGCCACACCTCCTTTGCAGGAGTTTCCCAGCTGCCTCTGCTCTGAGTCCTTCCTCACCTGCTCTCAGGTAAGTACCCAGCACTCGGGGTCTTTCTCCATCAGAGCCCTAGAGGTGTATAAGGTTCAGCACCGTCCCGGCCAACAGGAGACAATTTTACAACCAGAAGCAACATGTGGGGTGGATCACCCTTTCCTAGCCGCTTCTTTACCTCACGGTGTCTCAGTTTCCCCATCTGTAAAATAGGCATACCATCTCCCACGTCAGGGTGCTATGGGATGATGGAAGAGAAAGCAATCAACAATAACCTCAAGTCGTTACTCGCAGGTGCCAAGGCACGCTCACTTGAAAAACACCTTATAGAAGGTATTTCAGGAAAACAGGTTCTGGCTGGCCTGCTGGGCTAAGTATTACGCATGTCACATTACAGTCAGAAAAAAAACTGTTCAAAGTAAAATCTCTGGTTAGTAAGAATGGATGAATACAGGAGGATTAATTTTCAGGTTCCCTGAGGGTTGACCAAGCCTGGCTTGGATCAAAGGGCTTGTTATTTCAAAATAAAATGATCCCTGGCCACGGCTGGCCTCAAGGACAATGAAGATCAGACACGATCTAGCAGTGGAAGGACCTGCAGAGCCTTCCTCCCTGTGAAACTGCAAGCCCTAAAGGTAGGGCTGTATCTCATCCATCTGGCAATACCTGCATCCTTGCTGGGCACACACGAGGGGCTTAGAGTATGCAGGGTGGAAGCCTGAGGCGGCCTGGCCTGGGGAAGGGGCACTGTCTAGGGAGTGATGTTGCTGTGACCTTCCCCCAGGCCCCAGTATCCTGACTGCATCTACTCTCTATCCCCCAGTTCCAAGACAACTCCAATTGCCCACGAGGGGGGCAGTCAACCCCAACTGTCTGGATGGCCAGAGAGGTGGCTTGGAACCCATCATTGAGTAAGATCCAAAAAAGCAGAGTGGCTAGCATTCTTTCCCTGTGAGCACCAAGGCATATTTTTATCGCATCAAAACACAAACGCCAGCATCGAGGAGCTCAGCTGAAAGGCCACCACCCCCAGGGAGGGCTGCACAGACCAGGTTTCCACCAAGACATGGAGCAAAATGACCATGTGGCCTTTGCCCAAAAGGCTCCCACCCTCGCCCAGGCCAACCCCACCTCTCAAGCCTGTTCCTCAAAAACAGCCCCGTGAGAAGCCAAGAAGATGCTCCTGCTCTCTGACCACACCTCCACCTCCAGGAGCCCAGCCCAGGGGGATCACCAGAGATACCTACAGGGCTCACACACAAGGATTCCGTCACAGTGGCACTTTTCAGTACCATTCAAATAGGGACAGGTTATGAAATTTATAGTCCCTCCATACGAGCTACACTATACAGCTGTTAAACATGATCTTGTCTATGAATGTTTAAAGACAAGGAAAATGTGTAACACTTAAAGCAGGGTTTAAAGCAGCAAGAAGATATTATCCTGAGTCTGTTTAGGATGAAAACAAAATTTATCTGCAGAAAAAGATGGAAGGAAATGCCCCCCACCCCCCAATTTTAACACTTGCTATCTCTGGGTAAATAATTATAGGTGGTTTTATTATATTCCTTTTTTAAAATGTACTTTCCTAATTTTCTATGATGAATGTGTAATGTTTTTGGAATTAAAGCAAAATGTTATCTTAAAACCCGTCTGTGACCAAGCCCAAAAAGAACAGGCCCACTGGATACTTGGACTGGGATGTCTATTCTGGCCTGGCCTGACCCAGTCCCCTGGCACAGGGCTGCTCCTCAAGACAAGGGTGCAAAGCCCTTGGTGGCTTCCAAGTACCTATTTTTGCCCAGAGTATTAAGGGCCAAACCAAGGAACATTCCAGTTCCACCCAATGTTTCACATTTTCAGGAGCATGGGGGGAGTAGAACTGGGAATGCCCTGGGCAGCCATCGTGGGCAGTCACAGTGGCCACGCCCCCACCGCACCCCCTGGCACCTGTTCTGTGCCTAGCCCTGGCTGGTCAGCAGGCATGGACTGAGGGTCTGTTCCATGCCAGGCACTGAGTTGGTCCACCTTGCCCTAGAGAGGACTCATCCAGGGCCAGCCTTCGAGCAGCTTGATGTAGATGGGAAGGGCAACACCTAAACAGCCACGAAGATGGAGCTGCACTTGGGGCTGTGGGGGACCCCACAGAAGGGGATCCCTCACTCAATGTGGGAAGGGGCAGGCTAGGAATTCTGCAGGAGGCTTCGACTGAGCCTTCAGGATAAGCAGGCAAGGGGCCAGGCAAGGGAGTGGGGTGGAGGCGCCTGGGCAGTTCAGCAAGAGATGTGCCCAGAAGAGGCAGTGGAGGGACAGTGAGCCAGCAATGTGGCCAGGAAAGAGCAAGCGGCTGGGATGTGAGTGCTGGAGAAGGGACACAGGAAGGAGAGCACAGGTTGAGTGAGCGGTATGGCAGTCTCTGAGGGCCTGAAGGAATACCAGGCATAGGAGATGGGCTGACCTTACAGCCAGAAGGAAGTGGCGTTAAAGAACCAGCAGGGCTGCGTGGACACAGGATGGGACTGGGGAGGAGACTGGGGGGCCGTCCAGGGAGAGGTGAGAAGCCTCAACCAGGACAGGCATCCCTGCTCAGGAGCCAGGAGATCCCTAACTAAATGTGACGAATGAGGGGACTCGGGGTGGCCT